ACGCTGATTGGCTGTTAGAACAATGCCACAAGATTTATTGGCTGTCGGAAACGCCGGAAGCTGAAAGCGCTTGTTCCTCGCGTGGTTGTTTTAGTTAATGATCCGCCGTTGGCTTAGAGAAAATTCGATTTTGCTGTCATTTTTATGGTCTTATGGTAGGAAAATATGCCTTAATATGTATCATGGAAATTCAGAAAATTCAGATGCTTGTTCATATCTTCTCTGAATTTGCTTTATTTACGTAGCTAATGTGAGTGTATCGCGGAGTTGAATCCCTCTGCAAGTTGTTGACTGCTAACAAGGTGCTTTTTGATTTACCAACAAACAAGTGCAGGTCAAAATAATATCCATCTTAAAAGTGCTTTCATTTGAAAGTTTAGCCAGGAATGACTTTCCTGAACGGGGTACGCAAGCGGAGGCTCATTGCGAAAGAAACACATCGCATCGCTGTTTAAGGAATTTTTGTAGGCATTATCATAAAAGCTGGTGGCGCTAGTGTTAAGGTAACAGACTTGTTGTTTGCCTTCCCTTTTTGTAAAAAACAAACCAGGAAAACTGGTGTCCTCGCTCGTTTGACTGTTTGCTGTTTGTTAATTCCGATTAATAAATTTAGCGAGCCAAGATTTTAGACCTGCAGTAAAACAACAACACAACCAAGTAGAACTACAAAGTATGTTTGTAATATTGTTTTTCATTTTGTTTATAGGTCAGTTGAGCATGCAGTTTTAGAAGTGTCCGTTCGTTTTTCCAAAGTGGCAGATATTTACTTGGATTTATAAAAAATATATATATATTTTAGACGTTTGTTTCTCTAGAAATTCGCAAATCGCAAGTGCCTGCACGGGACTAAATCAGCTAGCTACATTAAATGCAGTTGAGAACTCGTTTGGTTTGTTCTGAGATAGTTTATATATCCTTTGAAAAAGTTTGCGATATATTTCTCCAAGATTTATAAAGATTTATGTACTGAAAATCGGGGAAAATTGCCGAGGAGAATATTAAGGCAACAGACGAATAGATATTCCAGTATTTTTAATTCGAGCGCGCCCAGCCAAACTAAAACATCGTGTCGCCGTCTTTTCGAAAACTTTTTACCTTCTTTGCCAACAGAAATAACCGCCGACATCTCCTTTAATCTCGCAAGAAGTTAAATGTGATTGTGCTGACCGTTTTTTTTAGTTGAAAAAATTAAAAGATAAAAGCTAGTTTTCAAGACAGCGAGTATGCATTTTTCCCCACGTATGAAAAATTTGCATACTAAAAAAACAAGCAACGGAAGTAGTTTTGGTTGGCTTATTCGGCAAATGTCAATCAATCAAAAAAGTGGGCGGAAGACTTTTCGTAGAAGGTTTGTATCCGGCTCTATTTTCGTTTCGCCTTGCCGGCCAGCATGTTATTTTCAAAGCGAAACGAAAATAGAGCCTGATCTCAGGTTATAAAATTCCGAAAATAAGCCCATCCAAATATAAGACCCCCAAACCGGTTACGTAAAAAACCCTCCGTTAAATCGCCTCTCCAAATATAAGCCCCCCGGGGGCTTGTACTTGGAAAATTGCCCTCAAATACAAAGTAAAACAAAGCGAAAACGGTAAATTTACTTCCAACTCTAAGGTTAGCCCAATCGACTTTGACACGCAAATTTCCCTCCGTAGATAAGCCCCCCCGAATATAAGCCCCTCCAAAGTTAAGTCCCTCAAAAAGGGCCTTTGAAAAATATAAGCCCCGGGGCTTATTTTCGGAATTTTACGGTATTTCTCTACCACAACTTAAAACTCTAGACAGTGGACACGACCTCCGTCGAACTTGCTCTAACATGACCTCTGCCGAACTCTCTTTGCATGTAAAAACGGGCTAAACGTTAGGCTAAGAGCTTGTTTAAACGTGGTGTTTATATGTCGGCAAAATTGCAGGCGTTCGTGATTTTTACTGTTTCCCGAGTTGTAGTCACAAAATTTCAGCTAACTTCCAAAGGAAACTAAGTAGAGCATTTGCATCTTTCACATACTTAATTTAACGCAAATATGGTCACTTTTATAAACTTCCATAGAGGAAACAAAACCAAATGCTGCTTTTTAAGGTGGCTCGACTGGATTTTTTTGAGGGGATACCTCCCAAGTTTGAGCATTAACTACGTCGCCACGAGTAAAGATATGGGAAAAAGATTACCACAACTGTCTTATATAAAGATGAAAATTTGCTATGATCTGGGTTTTATTGCAATTGGAGTCGCCATGGCAACGTAACAAAGCCATTACGTTTTTTATTTATCTTTATCTTTCTCTGTACCGGGAGTTTTTTTAGGAAATCGCTTAAGGGAGTTTGTATCTGCCATAATTGCCTCAATTATGGCAAAGTTTGAACAAATTCTATGAGAGCGTTTTCGAGATATTTTGAAACGAAGTTTTAAGCATCATAAGAACAGTGAAATAGCATGCTATCCACACAATTGGCTAATTTTTTTAAGAAAATGATAAGCTTTGGAAACGCGGCTTCATCTCATAGTGGTTTGATTCCATTGAAAACTGTGTACAAGAAAAGAGGGGAATTGCTCTGGGCGATCGCGAGTAAGAAGAATTTTATTAACCTGCATTCAGCTGCTCTTGTTACAGTTTTTGGACGTCATTTGGTCCATGTCTACAATTTTCGCATTTTTCAAAAAACGGCTGGATACATTTTTTTATAATTTTGACAATCCCGAGATCAATTGCCAATAAATATACCCTGCAAGTTTCAAGAACATTGAAAACAGAAAAGGCTTTTAAATAGGGCCTCAAATATAACCAATTTTACCCCCAGGTTTTGTGTTTATAATTGAGCGTCCTCATCATTCACTGGCATTGTTTCCAAGTTTCATATGCACGCGCACATTTAGCAAAAAGAAATAAATTTGCATCAAAAAGAACTCTCGATTACTTTCGGAAGAAATATCCGGAATATGTTAATAATTGGCTTGTGTCACAGATAGCAGTGAGAGCCGAGACGGTGAACGTCACGGCTCATCGTGTAGGATGTAATACTTTAATAGTTATCTTACTTGGGTTATAACGTCACAGAAACTCTTACAAAGAGTTGCTGTGATGTTATAGTATATCACTTATTTCTTTACCCGGTTATTAGCATATTCGGGAGATTTAACCGAGGGTCCTTTTTGATGCAAATTCTATCTTTTTGCTAAATGGGCACGTGCATATGAAACTTGGAAACAATGCCAGTGAATAATGAGGACGCTCACTTGTAAACACAAAATCTGGGGGGAAAATTGGTTATATTTGAGGCCCTATTTAAAAGCCTTCTCTGTAAAATTTATAAAAACATTTATCGAGCCGTTTTTGGAAAAATGCGAAATTTGTAGGCATGGACCAAATTACTGCAAAAACTGTAGCAAAAGCAGCTGAGTGCAAGTTACTAAAATTCTTCTTACTCGCGATCGCCCAGAGCAATTCTCTTCTTTTTTTGTACGCAGTTTTCAATGGAATCAAACCACTATGAGATGAAGCCGCGTTTCCAAAGCTTATCATTTTCTTAAAAAGTTAGCTAATTGTGTGGATAGCATGCTATTTCACTGTTTTTATGATGCTTAAAACTTCGTTTCAAAATATCTCGAAAAAGCTCTCATAGAATTTGTTCAAACTTTGCCACAATTGAGGCAATTATAACAGGTACAAACTCCCTTAAGCGATTTCTTAAAGAAGCTCTTGGTACAGAGATACACGAAGATAAATAAAAACGTAATGGCGTTGTTACGTTGCCATGGCGACTCCAACTGCAATAAAACCCAGATCATAACAAATTTTCATCTTTATATAAGACAGTTGTGGTAATCTTTTTTCCATATCTTTACTCATGGCGACGTAGTTAATGCTCAAACTTGGGAGGTATCCCCCCAAAAAATCCAGTCGAGCCACCTTAAGCCTCATTTGATTGTCGCTGTGTAAATGGTAAAGAAATAAAAGTATGAAGTTTAAATTTCAGTTAAGAGCGACGGTCAGGAAATATCGACCATTGAGTGGCAAGAGTTGAAAAATGAATTTCGCTTATTTTCTGACTATAAAAAGCTACTAAGAATAGAAGAAATTTAATGTATTTCTTTTTCTTCCGGAGCGCTTTAATTCTGAGAAAACTGAGAAAAACTAATTTGACCCGCGACGATCCCGAAAGGTCCCTCAAGCAAGTGTGAAATTGATATTTTAAACTGACTTTTGGTCTTCAAGGAAAAACGATTCAAAGGATCATGACACCGAATTTTGATAGAGTGAGTGCCGTACTTTCACAGAAACTATATGACTTATCTTTATTGTTGTTCATAAATAGCAAACAACGCGCAGGAAAGTGTTGTATTTTCAAACGTGAAAAATCCCGCAAATACCTCCTTAATTCAAACGTTTTTTTTCACTATGTGGTATAATTCAGATTTTCCTTTTACTACGTCATTAGAGGGATTTAAGGTTGTTCTTGACAATATGTTAGAATCAGCATGGGTTTTCTTTACAGCGCCTCACGCGAAGGTTTTGAAATGACCGTAATTCATTCAAATTTCTACAACGGCTGAGTAAACAATTCTTGTTCCGTGACCGTAACGTCAAGCGGAGTTTTTACACAGCTGGCTTGGTAATCGGCCAAAGAGAGGTTATTTTTTCTCATTGTTAGGGTGGAAGTTTTCCTTTTCAGTGTAAAATGTTTTCACTGATAAATATCAGGATGTAATTTGATTAGCTCTCGGCTAACCTGTTTAACTTTTACACTTGTGTTTTTTTTCGCTTCCTTTGGTTTCAGAAGAATCGGAACAGATAGACAAAAACCATAGATGCTTTTTAAATTGATATTTACTTCAATTGAGAGGATTTATTTTTATTATTTGTTGAAGAAATGACAGAGTGGGCTAAAGCTCGAAGCAGTTTGCTGGCCGTAGCGTGAAATTGAATTAGTCAATTAAATGCAAAAAAGGGAAAAATTTAATTAGCGAAGTTGGAGTGAATTTGCTTTGCCAGTTTTGTGTCATCATGGACGTTAAGTGCTCATTTAGCTCCTTAGTCGGCGGTTCTTGCTCTTATGACCCCAGAGATAGGAGCAGATCAACTGAGGTTATTCCATTTCTGAACTGCAAAAGAGACATCGCGGGTCATAAGCCTTCGTTGTCAATAACGGACGTAGAAACCGAAATCGAACTTATTTTGGGAAGAGTATCTACATCCTTTTCTTCGGAGTTAGAACTTTCGAAATTACCGATTTGTCCCCGGCACCGCTCATCTCTTGGTATTGGGTGGCGTCGAGGATCGAATCTGTGTCGAGTTTCTCCGCCGATCTGGAAGCACGGCGGACAAGCCCAAAAAAACGCAAAGGCAGAAAGAGGACTTGGCAAAACTGCTTGTTATTTGATATGGAAGAAACTGGGAATTTTTATTCCAGTTGGTTCAGGTACGTAAACATCATTTTTCATCTTTTTCAACCAAACAGACCAGTTCTAAAGTGGCGGTCCAATCTGACACTTTAATCAAAGCACTTTGTAAGCACTTTTCTTTTTTTTTTATTTTAACTCTTTCAATAATTAAGTAGCCGTGACGGTCGCAAATTCAATAGCCTTTGTTTATTTACGTGTTTCTTTTCCTTTCATTATTGTAACATTTTATATTAGTTATTGTAGCAGCAAAAAGGTAAAAGTAGAAGCCTTCACCGGACTCCTAAAATTACAGCTTTTTAAAGCAGATTCCCTGATGGCCTATAGATAGATACAGGGAGACGCAGCCCCTAAAGGCACCTTTATCAGGCTTCAGGTATATCAAAGGATAGGGAATTGAAGAGTTGAAGTATATGAAAGGGTAGGAAAATCTATCATTTAAGTTTTTTAAAACAGGTTCCCTTACTTGTGTAAATTAAGACCGTAGTTGTTCAGAATAGTGATGATATTATCGTATCAGCAAAAACCTGCATTATCCATCGATTCACTCAACAGGTATTTGTCTCAACTGCCGGGTTAATCTTGACATGCAGAAAATAGGGGAGCTACCCACAAAGCTTCCGGAGACCAAGAACCTTTCTTACGAGGAAACTGAGACCATTGAGACTTCTGTAAGTTCTGAACTGGCACTCAATGGAAATAGTGTTATTAACAGTCGCACCAAACAAGGCCCGCGGGGCAAAAAAAGATTTAAAAAAATTGATAGGGACCTTATCATCACAAAGTCTGCATGAGCGGGCCCCGTTTCCTTTCTGCCTTTCCTTAAAATGTAACGAACAGGGATAGAGAGCACAAATTAACCTTCTATGTCAGTTTTTCCTGAGTTCTGCAGATAATGAAGAGGTTTAATACCCCGTGCATTTTATGTAGCCCTTGCGTCTGCACACAGTTGAAATATATTCAGCGGATTTTCTTTTTTATTCTCACCAAAATCTGAGAACTTGAAGCAGTGGCAACAAGTTAAAGACCACGTAGTCCGCGATGGTAAGCTGAGGCCAAATTGTTCTTTTAAGAATAAAGGGTTCATTTAAAAGAAAACTGCATTATAACTTAATTATTTCTCAGACAGGTTTTTTGCTTCCACCTGCCCCCACCTACACACACGCATCCCTCCACCCTATACCGCCAGGGATACGACTTCATGTGATTTTCTCAAGGTTAAGGACACGGTGAATAATGCTCAGAAAAACGTTTGGGGTTTCCAATATACCACTCCAGGTTCCTTTACCACTCGCTTTAAAGTTGGTACTTATTTGTCATAATGAAAGGTATTTTATGTAATAAATTAGGCACTTTTTATCATAAATGAAGGCGGCAGAAAAGGTTTTATTTTTAGTACATAATAAAGGCAACAAAGATCAGGCGGGATTACTGATCTTTGTCTAAGTGTTGGTCAACTTTGGTAATTATGTACCCAATTAATTTTTTTTAATACTGTTTACGTGATGTGTAACCCTCCAATTGCTGCAAGTACTCCTTGTTCAGTGGTAGCACATGACTTTCTAGAACAAGAAACGTCATTATATTTACCATCAACCCTCCTAGAAGAAACTGAGACAAGCACCACAGGAATGAAGTCGGAAGAACCTATTGACCACCTTAACAGTTTCTGAAGAAGTCGAGACGTTAGTCCTATTTGGTACACCCTAAAGACACCTTTAAAAAGATGCCAGTGGAAGAACCAGACGACTGCATGAGCGCAAAGCCAAGCAAGCGGTTTCAGCTGTTCTTGGTGAAATAGCGCCTAATGATCCAGATCTTCTCTGGGAATCTATTATGTCCTCAAGACAAAATGAAACTGGAAATCACACTTGTTCTAGTGGTTTGGATAAAGAATTGATGTACACGCTGGCAAACTGCTACAAAAATGCAAACCAGTGGGATTCTCGCAGGCAGATATTGTCCATAATGGCGGATAACGTTAGCTTGGCAACAATTGAACAGTGGATCCCAGACCTGACAAGTTATCGGTTTAAGGTCGCCAGGCAGCATGCTGCAGTCCATGGCAGTGGAAAACTGGTGCCTACCAATGCACAAACGAAGTCATTCATACCTGAAGCAAAATTAGCGCATTTCCTAGACTTTATCACAAGCTCCTACGTAATTCAAGATCTTCCATTAGGAGCCAAGACAATAACATTGTCAACTAACGAGGTCATCCAAGTTCCAAATGTGGTGCGCAACATGATACCTGAACGAATCGTTTGCCAGTACCAAAAATATTCTGCCGAGCATGATTTCACACCCATGAGTCGCAGTACACTGCTAAGAATTCTGCATGTTTGTTCCGCTTCGACTCGCAAGTCATTGCAAGGGCTAGATTACGTAAGCTGTTCTGGTGCGCAGGCATTTGAAGATCTTGTGAACGTTGTGCACCAGCTCGGGGAAAACGGAATGGGTCTTACATGGGCAAAAACACAAAGGGAAGCTTTAAAGGAAGCAAAGCGGTACCTCAAGACTGATTTCAAGGTAAAATAAGAAAGTGAAAAAGGGAAATAATTTTGTTGCGCGCCTGGCGTAGGTGTATTATGAATGTTACTCGACTGCCTACTACATGAGTGCTCTCTAACTGGCTACTGCTCGCGTCTTGGTAGGTGAATAAGGGTGGATTCCCACTGTCGCGTACATTTCACGTGCATACACACGTAGCTTTTAGGCGCGTAATTTAAATAGAGACAATGTTTGAAAGGTCGCTCGTAAACGTAAACGTTGAGCGAGGTTTAGCTTTTACGTTTACTCGTGGCATTCCATACGTTGCTTCTATTTTATTCACACCCTTAACCCTATTTAGACCAGGAAGGGTTTGAAGCCCCCCTTCGCTTAAAAGTTGAATAACTTCAAAACCGCTCAAGCTTTGAGCACCAAACCTAGCGAGTTTTCCTAACAATTATCTGGGGACATTTAAAGTCGTCGTGACTTGTACGTCAGCATTGACGTTACCATGTCAACCGAGTTTTGAGAGCCATATTTTCCAAAACTTGCTGTTTTACTCATTATACCTGTTTGTGTAATCCGGCCTTTTTAGCGACTGATTTGAGAAGAAAACATGAATTTAAAATGGCCCAGTGGCAGATACTTGGGTTCAATTTCTAACAGTCTTAATTTCTCTCGGGATTTCACAAGTTGCGGATTTTTTGTTTGTTTGTTTCATAAGCATCCTTTTATGCACAGGTCCGTTTTTCTATCACGATTACCTCCATTTCTACTTGTTTTAAGTAAAATTGGATACATTTGACAAATTAAAAATGGCGGATCCAAAATGGCGGATGGTTCCAGATCCCTCTTTAACCATAAATGACGCCATCATGACGTCATTGCTAGTGTTAAAAGTCATTAATGTGTCAACTAACTTCTTGATTTTGTCAGACAAATTATGATTTAAGTATTTTTCGCTTTGAAGGGAAAGCTGGTGCAATTTGGATTCTGCCCATAGAATCAACAATACGACGTCATATTACGTAATTGTGTCAATCTAAAAATGCCTAGACGTTGGAAATGACGAGTACATTGTTCTGTGACATGTTGCTCACCATACCACGAGCGGTTTTGTAGTTATAGTGGGGGACCTCTGAGCTCCGCCCCCCGGAACCAGGAGGCAAAAAAAGCCCGGTCTGAATAGAGTTAACATCTACGTACGTGCGGCATGCCAGTGAAGTTTACGTGATATGCAAGAGTGGAAGTCCACCCTAAGATAAAATGGGGGGGGGGGGTTGTAATACGGCATTCGGCTTCACAATATTTAGGTTCTGAAATCTTTCAGAAGATAGCATTACGTAAATATTCCTCAGAATTGAGGATTTGATAATTATTGCGCACATGTTAATCACTTAGGTTCACGTATCAGAGAGTTCAAGTATTCCAGATCACTGCATCGTTTTTGCTCTCAGCGACCCTAAAGATGTTGACTACCAGGCTACATGTGCCCATGATCATAGCGACGTTTGTGTCAGTGTAATTCCCTTGCCGTTACTATAGAGGAGATAGAGAAAACAATCGAGAGGATGGCGATGAATCTTGAACATCTTTCCAAAGGCCAAATACACGAAGAGCTCGCATTCATGACCGAGAAAGCAAAACGTGATATAATTGCCTGGAAATCTCATTTGTTGCGTTCGGTGAACCAAGATAAAGCAAGACTAGACATCCTCCGAGACTTGGACGACACATCAGTTCTACTTGTACAAGATTGGGCCATGAAGTTTATTCCTCGAAAATATCGTGAAAGCCAACGCGATTGGTTTGGGAAACGGGGAATTCCCTGGCACGTGTCCGTCGCCATGAGAAAGGAAAGTACAAGTAATGCTGGAAAGTACGAAACCCTTACCACGTGCCATGTCTTCAGAGGCTGCAGTCAAGATAGCTGTGCGGTACTGTCGGTCATGTCTGACGTACTCCAAGATTTAAAGGACGTCATGCCACACCTACAGCGAGTATACTATTGGCAGGACAACGCCGGGTGTTACCATTGTGGTAACACAATCAGCCTTGCTCACATGGTTGGTAAACATCACGGCGTGACTGTGAAGCGATCCTCAAGGAGGAAAAGGGGCTTGCGACAGAAGGTCTGCAGCTATAAAATCCCACATGAAGATTTACCTGAATTCTGGAAACAACACTGAAACGTCAGAAGAAATGAAAGAAGCCATTTTGTCAGCCGGTGGAATGTCCTCGGTGAGGGTGACTTCGTGTGGACCCCCAAAAGCTCCAGCTTCTTTGAACAGCAAGCTTGATGGAGTGGGTTCAATTTCGAATGTACAGTACGATGACAAGGGATTGCGAGTTTGGAGAGCATACAGAATTGGCCGAGGGAAATACACTCCTTGGGATAAGCTGAACGTCTCGGAAAATTCGGAAGTTCCGTACTTAACGGACGTAAGTAAGGAAGGTGTCACAGCGAGTTTTGCCCCTGTAAAATCCAAGCGTAAAGATACTGTTCCGAGACAGGACAGCGAGGAAGATAGTTCCAGTGAAAACTCGAGTGACGAAACAGAAACGGAAACCTCCAACGCTCGTCTTTTTTCATGTCCGGAACAGGGATGTATCAAATGTTACCAACGTTACTCGAATCTGCAGCAACACCTAGACTCCGGAAAACACACACGTGCTCTCGAACGAGAACCACTCCTAGACCAAGCTGTTTATGGATATGCGGAGAGACTGGAGGTTCAAACGGTGGGCGTTCCCTGTGTACGAAATGTTGAGGAAGTGCAAAACAAGTGCCACTACGGTCTACTCTCCCTATGGGCTGGGCATTAAGATCATCCCAGAACCGAAGAACACTTTTTAATGTAAAGCAGAAAGAGTACCTATCCACAAAGTTCAATATTGGTGAGACCACGGGACGCAAAGCTGACCCAGTAGTTGTCGCAAAAGAAATGATGTACGCCAGAGGAAATGACGAAGAACGCTTATTCAGCAGCGATGAGTTCCTTACCAGTCAACAAATAAGCAGCTTTTTCAGTCGCCTTGCTACCAAAAAGAGTTTAATTGACAAGGATGACACAGAAGAAAATGATGACGAAGCCGCGGAGTTCGAGAGTTCCCTTGAGGACCTAACAAATCAAGTACGGAGGGAAGTTGCATTACAACATTCAATCGTGTTTAACTGTCATAATATGTGTGACCTTGTTAAGCAAGGTAAACTGAACAAATTTAGCATAAAAATGCTGAAGAGATTGTGCGAGCACTTTGATTTAGACGTCAGTCATATAACAGTCAGACTCAAGAGGTCTTACGTCGACAAACTGTCCACGTTTTGTAGCAACTGCTCGTGTCAACAGTAAAATGACATGATCAGGTTTTCGTGTGATTTCCCTGCTCTGACGGGAATCTTCTTTTATTGGGATGATGTTTTTCGTATTTACCTTAAAAGAGATCTTAACATGGGGAATTGAGGGTTCTTATAGGAACGTTGGTTGGGGATATGCCGCTGAGTCACTTACCTTTTTAAGACAAAAAAGGACATTCATTTTGCGATCCTTATCAAGACAGGACCCAACTTGTTATGACTCATAACAGAATTCCCATCATGGCCAGAAATTGAGGACAACATGGCGCTGGAGCATGCGCGTCATTTACTTTTCCCGTTCTTTAAAGGGAACCTCCACTCTTACTACAGAATAAGTTTAAATCGAATAAAATTATGTTGATAAACAAATTTGTTCGAAATTTGTCCTTAAAAAAGTGTTTATATCAGGAAAAGTGAATTTTAAAATCCCTTATTTTCACTTTCAAATTTCGCGGGCGCCGCCATCTTGAATAATTGTGACGTGTTACGGTTGCTCTATTGTTCTGACACAAAAAGCGTTTGTTTAATAACAATAGGGCAACCATAACACGTCACAATTATTCAAGATGGCGACGCCCGCAAAATTTGAAAACAAAAATAGGTGAATCTAAAAGTTATTTCTTTCGGATACAAACACTTTCTTTAAAAATATTTTAGATTGACCTTGACTGTAACAGTTATTTCCTGTGATTTAAAGTTATCTTTTTGTTGAAGTGGAGGTTCCCTTTAAATATGGCGACCATATAAGGGATTAATGGGGAGAAAAGAAACTTTTAAGAATAAATAAAGTTAGACGAAGAATCGCTCACCTCCCGACGTCTAAACCTTCTCAAGGCGATCGTGGCTTTCAGTCATGTTAATTTGGCAATGTGTCAAGCTCCCAAAGTTGGTCCGTGAGTCACCATAAAAAGATGGCTTTCCTTGCCATACAAGAGCCTGTAATATTGCCTAAGCGCTTCTCTTTAAGCAAGAAAAAAGGTCATTACATGTCGGTGTTTCCTCCTTCCCCACGTCCTGGTTCTTGAAGGATATGTTTATCTTCATTTTTGTACGGTTTTAGAGGCCTAACTTCTTTGCTAAACCAGTTCGTTTTTTCCCTGAAATATAGAAATTCCATAGAGTGAATCTCTGCGCCATTACAGCACGAAGCGATTGAAAAAGAAGGCATTTTGGAGACTTTCTCAAACGATAACTCCTTCGATCAGCCGCCATTTTCAAGACAGAGAGGTTACCAAGCCAGAGTGACACAGGGAGCCCCGTTTTGTCACGATCGAACGATCACAGGGAATCATCAGCCAAGGGTTGGTGCTTGTCTAATAGGGACTCAGGCTAGATTTTGCACAGCTTGGACTTTGGAACCAGTGTTAGGTGTCGCATTTATTTGTTTTTACATATGTCAAGTACAATTACTTGAGGCTAGTAAATTGTAAATCTACAGAACGGTAAAAAGTATATGTTCGCCTCCCCGCCATTTTGCGAATGTATAAATCCTCATTAGCTATTTAATTCCCTAAAAATTAGCGTACGGTCAAAGCCCTTGGCTGTCCTTGATTTCTGGCCATGATTATTTAATTCACAAACCGAATCCAGTTTTGTTTAGAGTTAGATTTCAAAAATTTTTGGTATTTCGCATTCAGACTGCGCACCGCAACGTTTGCCTTGTTTAATGCTTCCCATTTAGGAAGACCCCAGTCATATCCTCTTCAGCGGCACATCCCTGTTAACACCAAAATAAGAGAGTGCTCTTCGGACCAAAATTAATTGCTTAAGTTGTTATCTGCTTCATAAATACATGTAGAATTGTCAATATGATGATCCATTATCTTCGTAGGAGACTATTGTTATTAGCTAGCATAATTTCCCTACCCGATTTTGACGAGGCAGAGAAGAAAATTGTTTCGAGGTTTTGAAACAGGGGGTACATTTTGTGTCTTATGTCTTACGCTGTTTTTCCACCGAGAAGTCAATTTTTGCGCAGTATTTCACAATAGTAGGTAAAAACATACGTGCAGCACAAGTTGCGTGCTTAAAATGGTTGATAACTTAAATATTTCGCATTATTTCCTTTTTTTTGCTCGTCTTTTAAGTGAAAGAATGAAGTTGTATGGAGTAAGACTCGGATATGGTTTTCTAGGAGCCGATACTCGACTCCTGTATCCTGGTAATGGTATAAGTAGTTTTGTTTAGAGAAGTTGAAAAATAAAGGCACAACTTTTTTAGAGTCTTTTTAGCGATTATTATGTTGTCAATGTATTCCATGAAAGACTATTTTTCTGGTTTTCCTGATCCCCTCCCCGTCCCCCACCCCACAGCTTGCGCTTTGTGCATATAATTTCCATATTCGCCTTCACGCAACAGATGTCAAGACATAAGCTTGAATCAGGAGTCCCATCTTTTACCTTCCTGTTTACTTGTCTAGGACGATCGATTTTTTCTTCCTCAAAACACTGTTCTCATACGCTGTCAAGAAATGCATTGTTAATATTGTGATTCCGTGACTGATCGACTCCCCAATATCACGTTTAGTCACGAAACAATTCGTCACGCGGAGTCTCCGGTCGATAGAGTTTAGCGTTTCAAAATGGCTAAAATTCACCCAGTTTGGCTTTTCTATCTCACTCTTTAAGTAGAAACGCAACTTTGCAACTGTAAAACCTACAAGGATTAAGAAAATGAATATTTGGGGATCAAATATCCACTTTCATGGATTTCGAAACTGGAAGTGTTTACACAATTACCGCCGACCCACCATGAAAATTTCTGAACTTCGATACCACCTTATAGAGATTTCCTTCGATAACCCAAGCTAATTCCCAGGTATGTTTTAGATTTATGTCTAAATGTGGGATTTAACTAGAATGAAGTCAATTTGGAGTTATACCACATGTGCAATATTGCCGTCGAAAATCAATAACAAAACGGAGTTTTTGTTATCCATAAAACCTGTTCCTCATTTTTCAATTATTTCTGCTCGGAGAGTGCCGCTTTTGCTCTAAAAGTATCTTCTAGTAAAAAAAGAACGGTGGTTCTATTGAAAGAAAGTGCAAAAATTTCTCCGTGCGACTTTGTTTGCGAACAAGAGGCAAGTTGATGTATGCAAATTTCACGTAAATAATTAGCCAATTTTGTGACTCCGACCACAAAAACCGATGTTCTAATTTTTCTAAAAAATAAAAAGCTTTTGGCGGGAACAATCCACATCAGGTATCTTATCTACCTAAAAGCTATCTATGGACAAAAAATGAAAGAAATCGAAAGGCAAGCACTGAAACTTTGGACAAGAATAAGAAAACCTTAATAATAATTGTTTTTACATGCTGGCGTTCCAAACAAACATTTACACTGTAAAATTTGACTAGATAAAATAACCAATGGAAATTGTTGCAAAATGCATCTAAGAGAATCCTTTTGTTTTAGTCTGATTGACCAATTTTGGTTTGAAATAACTGGATTCTTTTGATTTGAAATAACTAGTTTTAAAGCAGTTAAAATGAATATCAACAGGGTTATTTTGACCTTTTTGTTTGGTTGTTTTTAGTTCAATATTTATGTTGTTTTAACTAATATATATATTTAGCCAAGCCTAAAAGCGGAGCTCCCGTTTTTATTACAATAATAATAATAATAATAATAATAATAGTAGTAGTAACAATGATGATGATCGTTTTATTCACACTGGTGCATAATACGATATAACCTAGTTGTAAATACTGACACCAGCCAGTCGGTATTGAGTTGTAGTCTACCACACAACCACATTTGTCAAGTATTTTGCTGCTTGATGAGAGAAAAATATGTGTATTTGTATTTATTTGCCACACGATCACAATT